ATAGGAGTAACCATAATGAAGGTTTACCAGGTTTACAATAATAACAATAGTGGTTGACTGTTACCACTTATTATATTCTATTATTAATGCCAATAACAAATGATCTATGTTTATTATAATGTTTGTTTTATTAATTTATATAAAATTAATTGTACATGACAATTATTGTGCTTACAGTTTAAATGATGTGTAAATCACAATTGACAAATTAAATTAAAAAAGTAAACAGCATTTACACAACTTAAATTTTTAGTAAGTTATGAATTTTAAAATACAATGACCAATGCAAAAACAACATGCAAAACACATGCATTAACAAGGTATGTTAAGTAATAAAAATGATAATAATGGTTATCATTAGCATAATTAATATTTACAATGGTAAATTGAACTTGGTTAAAGTGGGCAAGGTACGTAATGTTCAGTGGCGTAACCATGTACACTATAGACGACAATGTATTTAAGCTAAACTATTAAGTATTTAGAAAAAATATTTAATATGATTAATTACTCATTAATAACAAATGTTAAAATTGTTTTTAATTTAATTTTTGCTAAAATATGCAAGTTAATTTTGCGCAAAATATAAATATTGTTTTTTTAAAAACTTATTAACTAATATTTTGAATTATGCAGTTTGTTATATTTGTGATTGTTATTAAAATTATTTAAGATGCTTTTGTAATATAATAATTAAATTTTAAAATGGGTAAAAATAAATTTTAATTTCTACAAATTTTAATTAATACAAATATAATACATGCAGTTATTTAATTAATTATTTATTAATCACAACGCAACCATTTTGATAAATAAACTACAAACAAATAACAATGTATGTTTATTACAAAAAAAATGTTTATGTAATATATAATCATTTAAAATAATGAACAAGATTAATATTATGCTAATTTTGGGAACCGTGATTGTGCTGCTAATATTGGTACATGGTCAATCTATGGCATACGCTGAACTAATGACCTCAAAGAAAAAGAATATCACAGCACAATGTGACCAATTTAAATGCCCCGATGGTAACAAGTGTTATGTAACTCATCTAGGTAAAGCCGATTGCACACCACTAGTTATTAAAGTGTCTAGGCCATCTAAAAGAGGGTCATAATTTATATTTAAAATCATTATGATAATAATTTTATGTAAAAATTAATTACATTAACAAATGAATAAAATTTATTTATTTTGATTTGTAGTTATTTATTAAATATTGATAAATTAATTTATGCATGCAATCTATTTAAATTAATTTAAGTTAAAATTGTTTATTAATTTGTATTTAATTTAGGTTTACATTTATGTATTTTATTTTGAATAACAGTAAATAAAATTGAATTTTTTGACCATATGTGAACAGTAAAATTAAAAACATAGCGTTAAGTAATTAATAAAAGTATTTATAAAAAATAAATATAACAATAATGTTTAGAATAATCATGTTAAATATGTTGTTATTAATGCCTTGTGAATACAATTTTGCGGAATACCTTAATAATAAACAACAAAATGCAATAACATTAGCAAGAAATAAGCGAGGTATGTTCAATAATTTTTAAATAATCAAATGTACAATAATTTGTTGTATAAAAATTATTATTTACAAGATTAACCTAGATTGACCATAACAAGTATGAGTGATCTTTTTAATTTTACATTGTAGATTTAGATCTACTTTTAATATTATAATTTTGAATAAGAATGTATGTGAACAGTGAATACCATATGTGAACAGTAAAATTAAAAACATACCGTTAATTAATTATGAAAAGTATTTATTTAAAATATAAATATAATAATAATGTTTAGAATAATCATGTTAAATGTGTTGTTATTAATGCCCTGTGAATACCATTTTGCGGAATACCTTAATAATAATAAACAGAATGCGATAACATTGGCGAGAAATAAGCGAGGTATGTTCAATAATATTTAAATAATCAAATGTACAATAATTTGTTGTATGAAACATTATTATTTACAAGATAGTTTGTATATTTTAAAATATTAGTTCAAGTATAGATAGCCCTGTACAAAAGTTACTAACCATGTCATTTTGAATTACAATTAATAAAATATAATTAACAACATGAAATTGCATTTAAATGTTTAGCCAGTTTATGGGAAACTATGGAAAAGCATGGAGTGATACCCGATGTCATAGACAGCGCGCCGGCACACGTACTACACGTGCGCTACCCATCGGGCGCTGAGCCCCAGTTGGGCAACGAGTTAACACCTCATGAAGTGAAAGATTTACCATCGGTAATGACGTGGCCTACGGTGGCCAACACGCTATACGCCGTATGTATGTTAGATCCGGACTCAACCAGTCGGCGGTCACCCAAATACAGACATTGGCAACACTGGCTGGTAGTCAACGTACCCAACAATAATACAGCTATGGGCGAGATATTGTCCGATTATGTGGGCCCGGGTCCGTCCATGGGTACTGGTCTGCACCGGTACGTGTTGTTGGTATATAAGCAGCATGGTAAATTGCAAATTGATAAACCTAGAGTGAACAATAGCTCGGTTGTTGGCCGGCTACTGTTTAAGCTAGATGAATTTGCTAAGAAATATAATCTAGGTGCTCCCTTGGCCGGTAATTTCTTTCATGTAAGTTTAGCATTTATTTACAATAAAGTTAACATTGATTAATATAATTAATTGTTATTTATTAAGATGATTATGTTCCCAGATTGCATTTACAATTGAGCAGTGTTTAAACTTTAAAGTGACCTGACTAGTGTATTTGTTAAATTTATATAATTTATAACAATTAATTGTAGTATAAATTAACCCTATCATATTATGTATATTTACTATAATCAAATTTAATTAATAAAATGATACTTAAAATAATGTAGTAGAATTTAATTAATTTGTACCATATTTTATAAAAGTACCTCCATTTATAAACATTGTGTAAAACTTTAATTAAACGAGTAAAACATAAACATGAAGATTGTTTTAATTGTGCTGATTTTCGTACTATTTTTTGACCAATGCATGATGGTTAATAAACAAAACAAAATGAATGCTGACAAGAATGCACCTGGCAAGTATCTACCTCACAAGAATGCACCTGGCAAGTATGTACCTGGCAAGATTGTACCTGGCAAAAATGTACCTGGCAAGAATGCAGTTAAAACACAGATCAAAACTGGCCAATATGGACGAGATAGGTCGCCGCTTGATTGTGTAGATAATCAATGCCATGATAAAATTTCAGACCATGTGGCCAACAAAGAACCAATATCGGTGTAATTTATTAAACTATGCTGTTTATAAGATATTTTAATGACTATTTAATTTAAAATGATATGAATTTTTATGTATTAATTTTAAATAAATTTCAAAAGTTGTAATTTATTATAAATAATTAAATATCAACACTTGTTTAATAAACAACAATTTGTATTGTTTTATTTATTTTAGTCAATTAATGTGTAATTAAAGTATTTGGTAAATATAATAGATGACAATAATGAGTCAATTTTTGTGTTGTCTGTGTTAAATGAATTATATACTGTAATTAATGTGCCTTATATTGTGAAGCACTTTGTAACAAACAATTAAATAGAATAAGGTTAAAAGGTTTATTTAAAACAGCAATTAGAAATTTTATATTTATATATAGAAATTTTAATATATTTATTTGTTATTTTTATTATTAGAACGCATATCAATAAAATTTATTTATAATGTTAATATTAACAAGCTGGGGCTAAAATGTTACCAGGTGCTTTGTAAAATTAAATATATTTTGTTGTTTTATTTTTATTTTTACGACTAAATAGTTTATTCAGCTTTACTATATTGTTATATATTATTTATTACAGATATATTATTTATCAATAAACACCACTCATTATATTAGTATACTCTATATCTGAATGACTTATGAATAGTGTATAAATAAAAACATATTTAAATAATGCTGTATACACCCAGGTCATTCATGTTTATGTCAATAAAAACACGAGTTTAGCATAAATTTAGCCTCATGCAAATTAAATGCAAAAATCATGTATTTCAAAATGTGACCAATTTAAATGTTTTGATGGTACAAGGTGTTTTGTAACTCATCTAGGTGTTGCCGAATGCATACCACTAGTAATTAAAGTTAAAGTGTCCAAACCATTTAAAAGAGGGTCATAATTTAATTTATTACTCAAAATAATGTTTTACTAATCATTTTAATTAAAATTGTACATTTTGTAAATTTTGTTATTAGCAAGTATGTTTTGAAAAATATATGAACTAAGATTATATCTAAAAAATTATGTTTTAAATAAAAGTTTTTAATTTTTAATCTTTTACAATTCTGTTTTGAATATTTATTAAATTAATTATATTAATATTTATTAAATGGTAAAAATTAATATTAATCATTGGTAAAATCCCTTTTGTATTTATATTTACATTGGTAATATTACATCTTTATTTGGTAAAATGAATATAATTTGGTACATATACTTTTACATTGTAGATTTAGATCTACTTTTTATATTATAATTTTGAATAAGAATGTATGTAAACAGTAAATACCATATGTGAACAGTGAAATTAAAAACATAGCGTTAAGTAATTATAAAAAATATTTATTTAAAATATAAATATAATAATAATGTTTAAAATTATAATATTAAATGTGTTGTTATTAATGCCTTGTGAATACCATTTTGCGGAATACCTTAATAATAATGAACAGAATGCGATAACATTGGCGAGAAATAAGCGAGGTAGGTTCAATAATTTATAAATAATCAAATGTACAATAATTTGTTGTATAAAACATTATTATTTACAAGATAGTTTTTATAATTTAAAATATTAGTTCAAGTATAGATAGCCCTGTACAAAAGTTACTAACCATGTCATTTTGAATTATAACTAATACAATATAATTACCAACATGAAATTGCATCTAAATGTTTAGCCAGTTTATGGGAGACTATGGAAAAGCACGGAGTGATACCCGATGTCATAGACAGCGCGCCGACACACGTACTACACGTGCGCTACCCATCGGGCGCTGAGCCCCAGTTGGGCAACGAGTTAACACCTCATGAAGTGAAAGACTTACCATCGGTAATGACGTGGCCTACGGTGGCCAACACGCTATACGCCGTATGTATGTTAGATCCGGACTCACCCAGTCGTCGGGCGCCCAAATACAGACATTGGCAACACTGGCTAGTAGTCAACGTACCCAACAATCATACAGCTATGGGCGAGATATTGTCCGATTATGTGGGCCCGGGTCCGTCCATGGGTACTGGTCTGCACCGGTACGTGTTGTTGGTATATAAGCAGCGTGGTAAATTGCAAATTGATAAACCTAGAGTGAACAATAGTTCGGTTGTTGGCCGGCTACTGTTTAAGGTTGATGAGTTTGCCAAGAAATATAATCTGGGTACTCCGTTGGCTGGGAATTTCTTTCATGTAAGTTTAGCATTTGTTTACCATAAAGTTAACATTGATTAATAGAATTAAATTTTATTTACTAGGCTAGATGGGATGATTATGTTCCCAAATTGCATTTACAATTGAGTGGGGCTTAAAATAACATGGTTTGTTATAATACTAATAATTTACTGTATTATAACAATATATAAAGTTCACTAAAAAATATTACCAATTTACTATATTATGTACAATGCACATTATATCAATTCATGACAATTATAAATTACATTGTATAATAAGTTATTATCATTTATTAAATTTATTATTTGGATAAACAATATTTATTTTGTACAACATAAAATCAAACAACAATTATTCTCGAAACATTAACATTTAAGTAATTACAACTAACAAGCAACTTTTTCAATCAATTTTAATCATAAAAATTTTTAAAAATATTAGTAAGTTAATAATTATCACTATTATTTAAAAATATGTTTAATTGATAATCAAAATTATTTTTAAATTAAAAAATAATACAAAATATTAATACAAATGTAATTAATATTAAAATAATAGACTCGATTTAATATCAAATTTTATTTTAAAAATAAATGTGGCTTATCAATGATAAGTTATCATGATTAAATTCAAAATATAAATAAACACAAAACTACAAAATATATTTATTAAGGAAAGCGACAATTCATTTACAATTAAAATCAATGCCCAAAATGCTTACTGTATTACACATTAAATTTCACTAATAAAGTAATATTTTATGTAAAGTATAGTATTTTTGTATAACAATCAGGGTATATAAAATAATAATAATAATAGAAAATTGGGAGCACCTGTAGTAACACAATTATATGCTCTCTCTCTCTCTCTCTCTCTCTCTCTTTCTCTCTCTCTCTCTCGCTCGCTCTCTCTCT